GTTCAAAAAAAAAAAAAAAGAAAGGAAAAAAAAGAAAAAGAAACAAGAGTTCCACCTTGGAACTGGCTGGCTCCGTTGAGAGCTATCATATTGAATTACATGGATGCAATGTCAGTGGCTTTCTAGGTATATTGGTTGTAGCTAGCGGGGAGTAAATGTCATAAAGATATCGTGAAATGACTGTGAAAGGACCTTGGTGACAAGTTTAAAAGGGGCAGGAGGTGGGGGAGAGCTGAGCGGGTGTACTGGCGGGATATTCAGACAAACATCCAAATATATTTAGAGTGAGTGCTGCGTCGCCTGGCTTAGGTTTGACCTTCCTCAATGCAGATGCTCCAGGAGCTGTGCGCTGATTTTGAAAGTCTGCTCGAGTCAGAGTGAATCAGGGATTTCAGTCTGTTGACAGCTCAACACTGTGGACAAGTAAAGCTGAATGGTTGCTACGGGATGCGCCTGTAAGCCTGGTCTATGGCTTTTTCCCGCACTATTTCCTGCTGTATCATAAATTTCAGAAAATATGAGACAGTAGAAATGAAAGTGACATCAACAGCATTCACACGGTGGGTGGTGATAGAAAAAACAACTAGTTACAGCTCGTGACACTTCACACAGAAAACAGGAACTCAAAGATGATGTGGTAATGACTTTAAAAAAATGCAACTTTAGCTTGGATTTGCTGAGAGTTGGACAAAATTTGCACATCAGAAAGGTTTATAAAGTGAAGGAGGCTCCTGGATTAGAGCTTAGAGACGAGCTTAGTGTCTGCATATCAGTGGCATCCTGGAGAAACAATTCTATTCTTAATACCACCTTTTATGTTTCTGCATAACTTGAGGACAGAGCCCCACTGTTGACAATGCCTGGTCGTGGACATAAACTGCAAAAGTGGATACTCATACGCTTTTCTTATCTCTTATATTACATACGCCGTACATAATTTTCCTCTCTGTTTGCCCACACTCTCCAGTTTATTTTCTAGTCTTATGAATACTACTTTTTTGTTGGATCAGGTATCCTATTATTAGCTCATAATTTGTTTTGAGAGGTAGAACTTTTTGCTGAAAAAATTTCCCCCCAAAAAAACACAACTTGCCATATTAACATAGACAAAATTTCAGGTTTACTACAAGAAAAAGCTGTGTATTTGCCTTTAACTGACACAGTGTGAAGCTTTCACCACTCCTGAATCGGGCTGGCAAACTTCGAGTGAGATGGCAGAAACAGAGTCCCTGTAGGAGAAGGGGCATGCCGGGGGGCAATTTTTTTTAAAACATATAAAAGAATAATTCTGGTGCACTCTGAGATGAAAATGGGGGAAAATAAATCTGTTTTCTGCTGTGGGTATCTTGCAAAGGGTTCAAAAAAATCTTGACAGCGGCACAGTCCCTGACAACTCGCACAACACCGTGCAGACAGACTGAAATTCAGTTTAACAGCATTATATTCTAGTGCATAATTAGATCATGAATCGACAGAAAATTATTTATTCTGATAATCAATTATTATTGTAAAAACTGATGTGGGACTGCTGGTTAAAGTAATTTGCAGACGCCAACGTGGGCACTGGGAAATTGTGGAGGACATTTTCCACTCTTAACTGACATTTTATAGACTAAACAGTCGACAAAATGATCGACAGATTAATTAAGAATAAAAATGTAACTGTTAATTGACGCCCCAATCATTTGTGCCTTTTGGCCTGTACCGAGAGATCGAACGCTTGTTGTTGTAGCTTAGCCATGATCCCGTTTCTTCCTTTTTTGAATGGCTTAAGCAATGCTGGCAGTGAAACTCCACAGATAAGGTTTCATGGATTTCATAGATGCATCATACAAATAAAAGTTACAGTCAAGGTACAGTAGCAATGGATTCAGTCCTCGGGATTGAATGTGATGAAACTGTAGCTTTTCTGGAGAATTAGTTGTGTTAAGACGCTGTGAGTGTGTGGGATTTTACATAGAAACAATACATGCAGGTGTTTTGATGCACATTGAATGACGGCGGCTACAAAGCCTTGAGATGCGAATCACTGGCATTCCATAGAAAAATGGGCGAACCAAACACAGCAACATTTAAAGGAACCGTGACAGGAAAAAATAGTTTCTTACTTCTGTCTATATTACAAGAATGTGGTCAAGCAGGGCCTGCATCAAGTGGAGGTGTATCTGGTTTGCCCAACTGGAAGCGTGTAGGATACACCAATCACACTGGTCACTGGTCATAGTTTTCATTGATTTTCATTTCAAATGATGCCAAATGGAAATTAGTTGTCAGGCGTATATATTGTACATCTACAGGATCTCTTTTTCCACAGAAGTTCATTTCCTTGAATTAAGGAACCTTGTAAGCTGTTTCATCGGGTGTGGACAGTTTATTAATCAAACATGCCTGAAGTTGCAGTGAGCATTCTGGTCATCTGTTTGACATGGCATGCTCAACAGCAGTCTCAGAACAAGCTAAATGTGACAAAAATTGGGGTATAATGTTGGGCTAAGTGATGATGCAGGGAGAGATGTACGGAGCAGCGGTGATGAGCGTATAGCTTTGATTAGAGTTGAGTGAGTGCCGTGGATTGGCTTGTGGATTTACTGAGGGTTGGGTACATTCTATTATGTGTACTATTAAATGTCTACACCATCAAAGCAGCAGCTAATAAAAATACATGACAAATGGAGACGGCACCGAGGGACTTAAAAACTTCTCAAATCTAACACTAGCAGCACCTGCAGCAAAGAACTGCTGACGCCTGCACAGCTGTTGACGTGGATACGCTTCAGCGGAGAAAAAGAAACATGGTTTTCAATCTGCAGACATGTCTAGAGGTTTACTGTGGTCATGTCGAGCGCGTTATGTGAACAAGTGAATGATTTCCCTGTGACTTGCGACATTTCAAACACTTAATGGATTTAACTGAACATTAACGGCACTGAGGCGGTGCAAAGTCTGCATATCTGTGCATTGTATTTTAAATGTGCTCTTCATTTATTTATTTATCAGGGTTCTGGTCCTGTGTCAAAACTCAACTTCCACTGCAGGCTTGCTGAAGGCCAGTGAAGATCAACATGTTAATTAAGCGTTACATATTTAACAGCAGCCTTGGTGTGCAAGCTCAATGGAGCGTATCCTGCATCTGTCAGAGGAAATTGTTTAGAAAAGACACGAGGGGTTATTCACATAACTCAACAACAAGGTTAGAGTGACATTATGGACTGAGATTGGAAGGCTGCAATGTTTTCATATTCATAAAAATGATTTACTGGCTCAATGTGGTTATACCAAGTAGAACATGTGTTTTTTTTTTGTCATTTTATAAATTGTTTTTTGAATAAATCCTGAAAACTGAAAACTGACCCAGTTATTTAATGAAAACGAAAGATAAGAAATAAAATGACATTAAGAAAGAAGTCGACCGTGAAGGTCTCAGCCCATAATATCGAGCGCGTCTTCTTTCAGATGATCCATTCAAAGCATGCTGGTGCGAAATGGGTCAGAAAAGTGCAACATTTTTGGAAAGTCAAAGTCACATCAAGTCACATCAGAAAAGTCACAGATGAAGAGCTAAAGGACGCAGAGTCATGATCTGACCGTGACTTTGTGTTGTCCGGTGAGGTTGGGCCATTCACACAGCAGCTGGCTCTCGGACAGGGTGAGGACGCAGGGAGTTTCTCCAATCAGCACCGTGTAGTTGAGGCGACTGTTACCCGGAGCCGCTGGGATCAGGTTACGACCCTGAACACAGACAGAGAGACATGTGGTGAGGAGAGGTGTCCAGATCATTTATGCACACTTCATTCCCACACAGCCACTGGTAAGACCTTATTGAATTGTAGGAAAGATTGTTATTAAATATCATATTTAACTACAAAGGTACCATCAAACACACATAAGCTTGTTCAAAATGACTGTAATCATATGGTTCTCACCAGGTTTCTGTAAATAAATGTGTGTCACTGACAAATATAATTGCTCATTTAGAAACTCTTAAAGGATGCTCTTTTACCAAATCCCACTGAACACAGGTCACAAAAAAACATAGTTTGATAAAAAGGGCACAGAAACTTTCTAAAACAGCTGGACACTGAAGTTTTTAACAAACTTTATCAGGAGTAAAATACATTTTCAGACTATTTTCAGCACACTTGGTGCTCTTGTGAGGATTTATGACAGCAGTACAGAGAATAAACTACAATGCCCATGTTCATCATAATGAAGGAGCTTGTCACCCAGTGCAACGGTGTGGCTCACTGATGTGTTTTTAATAGTATTTGGACAGAAAGGGAGCTCTACGGCACAGAGGAATAAGATATATCAGGCTTTGGATAAACAGGCAACACTTCATGGGTCTTTTGTTCAGAATAAAAAAAAAATAGAATATCACAAGACTAATCCTTTAAGCAAAAACTGCTTGTTTACTCATTTGCAATTCAATTCAGTGTTGTGCTTGTGACTGTAGAATCGCTGATTCCTGTTCAACTGATTGTGTTTTAATGTAGGAATTTTGTTTTTCAATCAAGCCAAAAACCAGAGGAGACATAAACAGGAAGATGAGGAGAGAGAGGAGGGTGGAAAAGTATATAACGCATATTGTACACACTACATAGTGAAGTGTAGTTAGGAGGCAAAAGCTCTCACCGACATAGACCAACACTGTTAAGTAAAGTCTGTACTGGAGGTGTGTAAATTCTAACATTTGTCAATTTTACTTCAGTTTTTCATTTCAATATCAAGTCCAGTAGCTCCAATTTGACACACACTTTGTCCGTGATGGAACAGGGGCGCAGTTAGTGGTGTGAAAAGAGAGAACCCACGTAACAGCAAGAAAACAAAAAGCAACAGGGGGAAAGATAAATACAAAGAAAAACAAGACGTGGCAGGAAAACATCAGGAGAGCGGGCCCGAGGACTGGAGAGAGCAGAGGAAAGATTACGAGAGGGGTAGAAAAAGATGAAAGGGATATACTCTAAGTGAGAAAGAAAAAGGGATTGAGCAGAAAACAGAGCCGGTGAGCGAGCGAGATAGACAGAGCGAGGGAGAGAGAGAAAGGAGATAGCTGCCGTGTCTCCCGCTGGCTTAGCAGTGGGACGCAGAGACAGACTCCGTTTTCCAATCCCATCGTCACTGCAGGCCGCCACCCAGCCCCGCTCTGCAACCCTGTAAACATGCATCCCATTCCGTCTCTCTCTCACACACACGTTCAAGCCACACATGGAGCTGTTGCCACACATACACACTACAGGCAAGAAGCATCATGCGGGGACACGCTCTCAAAAAACACACAAACACACGCACGGGGGAGCACTCACAAAACACCAAGAGCGGATAAATGTTTTCTCTCTTGCTAACACACCTCAGTAAAAACCCACCCGACACTTCAGATGAGAAATTAATTGTGTGGCGAGTGGAGTGCACGCATTTCAGAGAAATGTAACCCCCCCTCCCCCCTACACACACACATACACCCCACCCCGCCAAATTGCATTTTTGTCCATCTCATCAGCGCTTCCAACGGTTAGGCAGTTCCACAAACAAGCCAAGCAGGAGATTTGGCAATTACTGAGAGGCTCTTTGCTAATAAATTATCATTTAAGAAATAAATTACGACGGTTACGCTGCTTTCAATCTCTTCATGGGAATAAGCAGCGTAACACACTCTCTGTGATAACATAAGAGATAGTCAAGGCAAATTCTGGCAGGAGATAAAAGCGGCAAACACTGGATTCAATGCAAATGCAACACATCAATGTGACACTGATCTAAAACAAATAAATATTATAATGTCCCTTTATTGTGCACTCTCAGGAAAGATGTAAATGTCTTTAAATATTTTACACTATATAACCCACAGTGTCAGCAGTTAAGAAATCTTCTTCCACTCAAAAATCTGTTTTCCTTCTTCTTGTTCGTACAGTGTGATGTTTGAGCTTCACTGTACAGAACGATGTATGTATAGAGTTTGACACTAGAAGGTTTTCATTTTTAAGGGGAGGGGCCTATAAGCATGATTTGTGACATTACAAATAGTCCAGTATGCAACTTGTACAGTGTGTGTAGAAACTTGAGCCCACCAGTGCACATCCACTGGGGAATGGACTTGTACAGTGAAGTAGAAGACATCTTGTGTCCAGCAGGAATGAACAACATTTGAATATTCATAGATTGTGAAATTTTTTATGAGGTAGTAGGAGTAGATGACTTTCTAAGGATTTCAATGTGAAAATATAACTTTATTGCTTACAAAAATAGACCAGACACACATTGTTTCAAGCAGACTATTTGTATATATGCCATAATACATGTCTGGAGGGGATTTTTAAATTATTTTCTATGTCAGTTACTTTAGTATTAGTAATAGCACATATATATTCCCTCCGAAACAGCCACTCTAATTCCCCTCCAATCACTCTTTGGCTAAACATTTCAGGTGAGCTCCATGAGATAACACTCTGACACATACACATGACTCAGAAATTGCCAATTAATTTCATATACTTATGTCCAATCACTGTTAATGAAAATGAAAACCAATATAATCCAAGTCTCCTGGACCACGGGCTTGTGTGCTTCCACATTGCCCTTCCAGCACTAGAAATTAATTACACAAATTGAAAGGACTGTTATTTAAGAGGGCTCGAGGCTGCAGAGGAGGATGGCAGTCAAAGAAGTTTGTTAGTTACTGAAGGACAGATATTGGCCTTGGAAAGTGTGGACGTTTGCTTTCAGCTTTCAATTATGAATTTGTGAGATTTTTTCCCCCCTCTGAGAGACCTTGTAAACACATTGGTTTTTTCCTTTTGTGTGAAAAAAGATGTCAGTGAATGTGTGTGTGTGAGTGTGTGTGTTTCTGACTACGTAGGCTTAGGCATTATTAATAGAAGATAGGTTCAATATGTTTGAGACTTTTGCAGTCAACCTGAAAGTAGAAAAACCTTGGGAGAAAAACATCTACCACTACCTGAGACCTGGATTCAAATAAAATATTTAGGATGTATGTACAGGTGTACACACACATGCTGCATTTTAAAACACTTTTTCTGTATTGCTGCTCAGCATCAAATATCCTCTTAAAAATCAATGGTAGTTAAAAAAAAAACATAAGGTTATCTATTACTAATCTAAGTATCTGGTGTATAGTATCTAGTATATAGTGTCCATATTATTGGCTGAATGTACCTTCAGCTCTGTTTGCACTGAAAGAACAGTGCCACTTTAAAGGAACTGTCCCTCCGCAAAACCCCTTCCCAACAGTGGTTGTCAAATCATAGCTTAGATACAGTATAAGCACAGCAGCTCTGTCAAGCTTTGGATTTCTCCAGATGTTTGAGTGGTGTGCATGGATTGTGTAAGAGTGATGCTGGCATCTACAGATGTTGGAGGGTAGTGTCAGTTTTTTAAGCTTTCACCATAGCCACAAGAGCAAAAGTGTAAGGAATGATTAAACAGCGTGTTTATCTGCTCCAAAGTCAGATGCAAACATTAGCATGCTAAGTAGCTTACTAGATATGGAAGTAACCTATCATCAGCTTGTGGGGTTACAAGTTAGAACAAAGAAAGAGCCCCATTTACAGCTAGCACATCCACTGTAGCATTTCCCTACTTTGTGGAAACCAATCCTGGATGCCATCAGAGTTTAGAGTGGCCTACTGGTTTTCATTGGTATAATATTAGGTAGGTAAAAATAAATTTAATATTAAAGATTCTCATTCTAAAACAAGACAGTTGGACACTTTAAAGACTAATTCAGAGACACAGTATTTAACAAACTCAAAGGTTAATGTTATTAAGAAGCGGAGCAAATCTGCCTGCAACATTTCAGGAGACAAAACCAATGGTCGCCAGCTAGGAATAGAAAGCCTCATTTTGTTCACCTGTCTGAAATTAAGGGTCTGTTGCTTCAAAAATTACTAAGAATCTCGAGTGGTAATCTGCCACTGTAATCATTGTAAACTGCAGTGCAAGAATAGTTTCACAGTAATTAAGGGGGGCTAAAGCTTTGTGTTTATGTCAGTTCATTTTCACTTAAAAATCTGACCTGATGGTTTAATACAAATTGTAGTGATGCTCTAAAGAATAATCCACCATCAGCCAACACCTTTACCATGTAATTTGGCAGATCATTTTCTAACACTAAGTAAATGTAACAATTTTCAATTCTGTGTAGGCGTCAATGGCCTTATTCCCACTGCATAGGCTTTCTAAAGGCTGTTCACATAAGTCTCTTCATCTTCACAACTGCATTGTAGAACGTCCCTGACAAGTTAAAAAGTGTTTACAAAGCTCCTTAGATAAGTAGTAGCAGTAGCCAGTGTTGTTTGGGAGGTAAAAACTCAGATCAGAGCACTGATAAAATAAACTGAAATGTACAGGCAGGCAGAGAAAAGTCTCTCAAAAACAACACTTCTGCCTCTCTGACCTTGAGAATGAGTGGCGATGTGGGTTTGAGCTCCAGTATTCCAGAGGGACTGAGGGGTTCGAACACGGGGTCGGGGTAGTAGTTGAATGTCTCATTGACCACCACCAGAGCATTCACGTTGTCCATGTAGAACCCGATCTCATCCGGGCCGGTGCCAGTTTCGGAAAAACCCAGCTCTGAATCCGCCACCGATGGAGCCAGGCACACCATGACTGAGTTGTTATATACTGTACAGTTCTGTAAATGACAGAGAGGAAACAAAAAACAATGTATGGCTTACATTTATAGTAAATGGAGAGTCTACTATAAATAAGTAGGGGAAAAGAAAACTCCTGAAGGCTTCTTTGTATTAAACTATACATAGACTAAATGTGGACAGAATGCTAAATAAATGTCATCATAATCTAGTTACAGTTCTATTTAAAGGGACACTTCACCCATTTGCATTAAGCTTTGTATCGTTAGAAACCCAGTCATATTTTTGAATGGTCGTGCACCATTCCCTCATTTTCCCCTGAAGACGGAGAAAATAGGAATTTCAGTGTGCCACTTCCTGCTTCCCAATGATGTAAATAATCGTCATTTTGCATCATTGGAAACAGGAAGTCTCATATATTTGTAGAGGGGGTGAGACTACAAACACTCTTTTCTCGGTCAAATAGGCACCAAATTCAAAATTTATGTTACATTTCGACTACATATATAACCCACTTTCAATAAAGATTAATGTTTCCACGGGTGAAATGCTTCTTTAAAAGAGAATATCATGTATAAAACAGGTAGCACAGCCTCCCTCTGAAATAAGGAAAACAATCTGCATCATTTGCTTTTAAAATAGATCTGTTGGGTATAATAACCCATCCTTTTTGGAAGTCAATGCCCTGTGAAACTGCAATGCTGTTAGACCTATTGGAAATGTAAATTGGTTGCAAATTTATGATCAACTGTTAATAATGGGCAATGTGCTGTGTGCCTTTGCTTGTACCTAAGAATATTTTACATCATTGCTTTGGAGAATACATGAATACATGGTGTCATAGCTATTTGCTTTAATCTATAGGACTGCTTGGAGGACCATACCGTTTATTTGCATGTTGTAGACCATTTACTACAAATGTATTTTACATTGATACCATGAAGTTTTGCATACAGAAAAGAAATTTAAGAATGGGTGCTTTATTGACTTTGATTAAAATACAACTGGACATATAAATAAGTATGGTAAATGGAAAAGTTAAACAGACTGGGGTACCTGTAGACCCAAGAGGTATAGTTTTGGTCATATATCATAGGTGCTTTATTCTATCATTCTAAGTTTTCATGACTTTGTCAATCAATTTGTTTCTAATGACTTCATATTACTCGTTTCTGTGCCCAATTCTGACTAAGATGGAACTATTTGACTTCATGTTGGCCATGGGTCCTAATTTAAAGTATCACACATTCTTAGGGGTGGCAGGGGGCCACATTTTTGTGACAGACACAGATCCTAAATACTGCTCATCCTGAGGTAAGATGAAATTCAAAGTCAGAAACACAAGACATCTTTTCATAATAAAATGTTTTATGACTATCAAATTAAATGTTCTATTATTCAACACCCATGGTATAACCATATTTGAGAGAGCAGAGGGACAGAATAATAATAATTATAATAATAATAATAATGCAGTGCTATTCCATGAAGACAAGTCTTGCTCTGAACACATGATGTCATTATGATGGATTACCTATCACAGGCAGGTCTCTGCATGCTGGCCATCATACAGTAATGAAACGAATAAGACAGGCTGTCTGGAAGGTTAGAAAACTGTTTTGAAAAATTTAAAACGCTATAGTACGCTTTGGAAAATGGCTGTGAGTTAAGTATCTGTGATTTGTAGTAAATGGGCGACAACATTAAAAAACATCAGCATGGTCCTTTAAGTGCAAAGTAGCACTTTGATAAAGGGCTGTGTGGGATGCATCATGAGGGCTGTTTGCCTCAATAAACGACGGCTTTATCTGCAGGTTGAAGTGCCTTAGTATTGTTTGAAGTTCAGTTCTTCACCCTGACAACTAAAGAGCTTCAACTCGCAGTGGCAATCACCAAAGTGCTTTGTGAACATTATCTATAGAATTGATGAAACGCGTCAGCCCTTCAAATAGAACTTCACATGGTTTTTCATGGATTTTTTTCTTTCTTCTTAATTCCAAAAAAACATTCCCCATCTCTCTCTCTTTCTTTCACTCTCTCTCTCACACACACACACACACACTCAGTCTCTCTCATGTTGTCTCTTTCTTTCTGTGACACAAACGCTCATGTGGTGCAGTGACATTTGAAAAGCTATGTGGCCTGAGGTAGCGTCAGATGTCTGAAGCTGTAGCTGAGGAGAGAGAAGACGTGAGCAACACACAGAGACAGACTGTCTGCCACCTTCAGCAGCACTATAGAAGTAGTTGCCTGCAGATGTGCATGTGTGTGCGAAGGGTATGAATATATGTGCCAGTTAATGTAGGTACTGTATGTGTATGTACTGTATGTGTGTGTAAATCTCAATAATGTATACTGTATGCTAGGGTGTGTTCGTGAATTTATATCTGTTCATATGGGCTTATGCATGCCGGTTCGAGTGCATCATTCACAGTAATACTCACATGAAAGGATTCTGCCTGTCCATACTTGGCCCTGATCTTTGGTTCTCGGATGGTTGCAAGGTTGGTCCCACTCACGGTCAGCAGAGTCCCACCACTGTAAGGACACAAAGGAAGACGGTAGGAGAAGAATAAGAATAAGAAATGTGCGCTAGGTGGGCAAGACCTTTTCCAAGGCAAAGAAATCTCTACCCAAAGCTATTTCTGTTTGGTAGTGCCATGTGCAAGATGGACAAATGTTCCCAAAGAAAAGTTGGTAAAAAACAACAACTTTTCTACTTTGCCAAAGCAGCACGGTGGCAGAAGGCAATATCAGATTATAACACTGAAATTAGGGACCACTGAGCTGTAAAAAGGGAGAAACATACATTATAAGAAAAGTCATAACTTGCAGCCAGAATACCATTTCCTAAGCTAAGTTTAGATACCACCAATTTGTTTTCACAATTACCTTGTGGTGTCAGACATAATTGCTGCCTGGAAGGCTACGTTTTTTTTCAAGTGAATGAAGTGCTACAGTTATATGATACAAAGGAGTCATAGGGCGGTGGTCAGGATGGATGGCTAAAGTGCAGGATTTTGATACCAAAGACTGGGGTTCAAATCCTGAGGTATGGATTGTAAGTGCTGCATGTAGTTAGGATTGGGCAACAACAGCACTGTGGTTAAGATTAGGAAAAGATTGTGGTTTTGGATAAATGTTAATTAACACGTCCTGTATCGTGCCTTAGTTCACCAATGACATTTTCTTAAACCAAGGCCATGATCGATTTAACCAAAAACAAGTGTTGTGAATGCCTAAATATAACCATAAACGTTTCATAATGCTGGAGCTGCTACGAGCAAATACTTTATTGCAAAAAATACAAATTAAATAAATTGGTAGTGAACAAAAGTAGCTGTAACAATACAATATTGTACAACTTGCTATGTATATTAATTAACAGTTTCTTATTATGTTAAAAAAAAAAAAACTTAACCATTTTGCAAAAAATAAATAAAAGAAAGATTGACTCCCAGTGTACTGTGGAGTAACCTGAGCATTAATATGGCTTAGAGATGAACACTTCACAATGGAGTTTACAAAGAAAAAAGGAGAGAATGACGACATAAGAGAGCATACTGTATGTGTAAAATCAAAGAGAGAAAGGAGAAAGAGAGAGTAAGAGGCACACTTAAAAATTGAGTGAGGGGGAAAGATCCACAGAGAATCTCTACATTCTTTAATCACAACTTTATACTCAGTAAATATGTGTTTGCCTTGAGTCTGTGAAGGTCACTGGACTGAATCCAGTAAATAATGATGCCAGAACTTGGCTGAAGCCCCAGGCTTCATTTTGTTGGTGAGTAGTGTGTGAAGGCAGACTCACACCTGCTTGGTGTAAAAATGTGTATTTGGTTGGATCAGTTCAACAACGGCTGATCGGTTTTCAAATTTCACTGGGCAAATTTTGTTTTTGGAGTTTGGGATGTAAATTTTCAGATTTTCAAATCTTAAGTACTCTTCAGTGCTTTCCCACGTTGGTCTGACACAATATGATTGATGGACTCTGACCTCCCACAAGTCAAGATTACTAGTACTCAGAAAAGATCAGGAAGTACACCGGAAAAATAAAATCTTTATTATAGGACGACTCTTGCCACTTGTAAAGACAATAGAGAAAGTCTGTCCTTTTCACTGCTACACTTAAATTGGATTTATGAGGTTTTCATGAAAGATATCTTACTTTCTGGATGCCTACCTTGTTTTACAGTGGTAGTTCCAACCTTTGAGTACTCTACTCTGTTTTCTGCTAGGAGATCACTGCATTTCACTGCTGCCTAGGCTATCTGTGCCTCTGAAAAATATAGTTCATAAGATTCCCTATCGTGTGTCTTTCTGCAGGTTTCTCACTGCCTGGAGGGGGATATACCGAAGTCTTTCACACTGCTGTCTGAAATAAAAGGCTGAGATAAAACCTTGTTTCCTGGAAAAGTCATAAACAACGTGCAGCTTCCTTACTGCACACTGGGCACCAAAGCATTTTTGAAAGATGCAGTGGGCATCGAATGGGTAATCTCGGCCTTGGTGAAGTTTGTAGTTCAAACACCCATAGCCAACACCCATGGTTGTGATATTTAGATCTTTTGCCGTTATAGAATATTTTGGAGCTTAACCCCAAAGTATTATTTGAAACATTGGAAAACAGACATCTTGGTATATCTTGACCAATCATCTTTGTAAACCTGTACACTGTGGAGTCCCTGAAATATAAAAGGTAGCTGGCCCTGTAAAATCGTGGTGTTTTGCCTGTTATTTATCCACTTATCCCTATTCCTTATCCACAATTTCCCCAGGATTCATAATAACTTGGATGGCTATGAGTAATCCTGCAAGTCTGCACGTATTGTGAATAATACTTTCTGCCATTTGTGTGTACTTTCACCTTTTGCAACTGCAAGTGGAAGAGTGCTGACTCCATCAATTACCCACTGTTTCTAAACTGTAGGGATTACAATGTGATGGCCAGAGCTGACAACCCTTTTTGCCTCTACACCAGTCAAGCTTAAGATAGGCAAGGGAGTCCCTGACAAGGAAGGTGGTGGTAGTGTAAGTTGTTGCTAAATCAGGGAAAGTTCCAGTGCTCCCTGCAAGATCAGGTATCAGGTCCAACAGGCCATAGATCCAAGTGTTATACAGGCAGACATAATGACTAAAAAGTTATGTTATAGGATCATGACGCTTACTGAGGTATTGGGTAAGTCTTCATCCCTGGCTCAGCTTGCAGTTCAGATAAAACCCTCTCCAACCCTCCACTTCAGAATGATGACAGAACAAATTCCTTCTGGTGGGTTACCATGTGTTACCACTGATTTCTGCAATGTGTAGGTGTCTTTTCATGACATTTCTTTGACACTTATCCAGAACGACTTAGTGTACAAGCACCAACAGCAGTGATATGGTGATACGAAGCAGAGGCCAAGCCTCTTTATATGTTGGACAGTCTGGCTGGCTAATGCCAATGACATTCATCTCTTAGTCTGATCCAGGAAGACTTACAAATTCAGCAAACGGTTATAATAGGGAAGAAAAGGGAGTAAATGATGGAAGTAGACGTACCATCTTTGGTGTTGTTGGTAGACAAAAGGATTCAAGTCTGGTTATTCTTCACAGCTACATTTTTCTTTTCTTTTGGCAGGTTGCCCATTACTGGCTGAGGAGAATAGGTCCCATTCATCCTAACAGCACTATGTGTATGGTATGATTGTAGAGTTATGGAGGCATCAAGTCTTGGGTATTTTCACAGTTGATGTAGGTGTAGTGGTAGTTCTCTGATTGCCTCTGAATTACATAGTATTTGCATTTGCTTTTTGTGATACTGTATTCTTTTAATTTCTACTACAGCACTGTCATCTTCAAGAGCCAAATTCAGCTTAAGCAATTGGAAGTGAGACACTTCAATTCACTACGGCTGAGTGCCATGAAACTCTGCCATGACGTGGTAGAATTAATTTTGTACATATCAAGCATGTTCTGTCGAGCAGAGTCTAATTAATGTTAAGAAGTTTAAGTTGTAATAGTTGTGTATTGTAACTTCCATCTAAACTCTTGTAATGATTTTTTTAATCTCCTACATTACACTTTGAATGCAAATTAGTTTTCTGATGTGTCACACAAGGGAACACTCCTTGATTCTTCATATATTAGTATGGACTGTTGCCATGATTTATTTAGCAGAATTATACATAATAAATATTCTAAAATGTTAGGCTAAAGTTCTTATGATTGTATGACATACAGTAGTGCAATACCATTCAAAACCTCAAGACCTATATATGCTATATACTGTAAACATTGTTTGCATATATACTACATGAGATGCTAACAAAAGAAAAAAAGTCACCTAGCAACAAAGGAGCAATGGCGCTGAGGCCACATTCAAATTAACTGACTACGATGTTTATGCTATTGCCACAAATGCATCATGGGACTAGGCAGACTGCACTTAGAACACTGCCTGTCCTCTGCCTCCTTCTCCTCTGCCCCTCTCCTCCTCTCCTCTTCAGCTTGATGTATATTTGTGCTGAGTCCCTCCGTCCCTGTTGCTCCTCTCTTTGTCTAAGTGAGTCTCTTTAGCTCAGGTACATGCTTCAGGGAACAGACAACAAGACAATCAGGATAAACTCTCAGGGATAGCTGGGGAAATCCAACCGCTGTTGTTAGTGTTTGTCTCTGTCTGCTCACTCCCTCTCGTGCCATCTCTGTCCTTTCTTTCTGTTTTCTCACACTCTTTTCGGTCTAATCCTCCTCTTACTGACTGTCAAATATGTTTGGCTCCATTTTTCATACAGCAGGGGATGCTTAAAAGCTTCCCTGTAAGTTGACCGTAGCTACCTCAAGAGAGTTTTGATAATATCAAATGGGGGAAGATTAGCTAGAGATCACAATAAATACAAAAAACAAACAAATAATGGATAAAATGAATGAAACATACACAGCATTTACTTTTGTGGCAAAATCAGTTAGTTTAAATGGAATTGTGGCTATTGGTAAATTCACTCGTGAATTCATATGAATCTTTTGCTTTAAGTTAATTTTCGATGAACTCAGATACATAAATTTGCACTGTTCACAAAAAGCAGCCAGTCCAAAATGGAGGAAGCTATCATAGCCATCATACTGTAGCTGTGTTCCACAATCATGTTTTATTAAACCTCTGTTTGGGTATAAAATGTTCCATAAAAGAGGCATACTTTGTCGACAGTTATGGAACATATATCTTTTGAATGAAGTGTGAACTAAATGTCCCCTTTAACAACCCAAGCTAATGAGCTTGCTAACGGGACTAGTTAATTGTTTGCTAGTTAATTAGTGGTTAACAAGCTAGCTAGCATGAATCATTAAATGAAATGATGTACAAAATACCAGTACACAGCACAGTAGAGAGAAAATAGCTTGGAAAGCTATTAGGGCTGACTAGTGCTAGCATGTTCCTAGCTTGCTAGCATGTTATTCATTAGCTTTTCAACTACATTAGTTCACCAACTATCCCTGCCACCACATCACAAAGCCTCTACTTAGTTTGTGAGCATGTGGTGGATGAACTGTAATTAAATAAGTACTTAAATAAATACAGTTATTAACACTTTCAGGATATTGTGGGAGCTGCTTGCTTGTTGCCTATATTCACACTTGTCCATTACAAATGCTATAATGGTAACCATTAAGCATCTGCACTGGATTGGGGGATTTTCAGTGACTTGCTTAATTGTACCTTGGCAGTAGTTGAATATAGTTAAAAATAGTTAAAAATTGCCCCTCTAACCTCTGCTGTTGCCCAAATATCTTTCCTCTGTATCCCAGATGAGCACTCCTCATTGATTTATTTTTGAAGTGCTCTGTCTTCTTCCTAAATGGAATACCATCAGCCAAGCACAATGATAATGCAATCCCCTACCCCTCCCTGCTCTTTTCTCTTCTCACTGTCTTTCATCCTGCTATCATCACCCAAGCACAGTGATAATGCTCTGCAGGCGTGCATGTATTCACACAAAGTGTCTACCTTTGTGAGACAGACATGAACCAATATGATCACATCTCACTGGTTCGTTATACTTTCTACCTGAACCAACATGTGATACTGTGAGAGAGGGCACCGGCTGAAAGGCATCAGCTAAATTAAAGCTTCCACTAGCTGGAAGCAACACACACACTTTATATCACATCTCAGTTGTTGTTTTTTTCACTGCAGTTTGTGAGGTGTGTGTGTTGTTTTACGGTTTTCTCAGCCAGATGGAGGAGGGATCTGGGGCCAAACATCAGGGACTCTGGGAATCAGTGGGGTGCGTGTGTGTGTGCATGCATGTGTCTTTTTTTATTTGGGATCATCACCCCTGGGTGAGCTTCCTTAAGCAGAACCTCAGTTTAGAGCTACACACACACACACAAAAACACCCTCACAGTGGGCGTGCGGGGCAGTGATTGGGCCTCAGCTGCTGCTTGGCCAGTCCTACTGGGCAAAAGGAACAGGGCGAGATTCATCAACACTCTTTTCTAACAAGCTCTGCATCTATCTGCTACCATCTACTGATGAGTCACCACAGGGAAGAAAGCAACACAGAGAAGGACAGAAAGGAGCAGGTGGGAAGGAGGTAAAATGAAGGGAAACAGGGCAAGATAGCTGCATGTTTCAATATCATGAAATAAATTAAGAAGACAGGGAATAAGAAAAAAAAAAGCGGAATAACGGATAATAAAGAGAGGAAAGGTGTACAGCAGGTGTTCTGACATCGGACAGGTGGGTAACATAATACTGTAAACTCATTAATCTGGATAGAATTTTAGGAACTGCTGCATCACAGGAGGTGGTTTGTAATATACAAAAATATTCTGCAGGAAAATCTTGACCTTCGTCAACAGCTGGCATCCAGCTCTTAGAGATACACTTTAACATAGAAAATTATAAAAGGACCAACAGATGCCAATAATCAGTGGGTATTTGGGATTGCAATTATTACCGCAGTAGTGGGAGGGAAACCAAACACATGCGCCCCTGACTGATTAGTCCAAGCAATCTTAAAATCCCCAAACTTCCAAACTAGAAATAAAACCAAGGCCGGCCTTCAGAAAAGCTACCAGAGAAAAAGGGATAGGTTCTTCACTACCAACCTAAGTCTCCACTATAAAGATACAATATGTGCGTGTCTTCTCTGCCAGTAAATTTACTTTAATGTGAAAGTCTTCGCTTGTGTGTGTCCTCCCCAGTGGCTCTCCTGTCATGTTCAATGCTGAGCAGTGCAGGGTCTTTATTTATTTAGCTGAGTATATACAGTACTGCATGACAGGCTGGGGGTAGCTGAGAATCAAACTGAGGGATGCATTAGTTCAGGCAGAGAACTTTAGTCTCGCACACCATCAGCTGATCGGTATTAGCTTAACATTCAAACAATCAATGGGATGTATAATCTGACGAACTGACACTTTTCGGATCACCCAAGCTGCTGCTACTGCTGATGATTCCCTGCACTAAAAAACATCTTGCTCGAGCCAGATGAAAAATCTCCGGAGGCACCCTCAATTTATCTATGTCCAAACCCGCTGTCAGGGCTTTCATCTAGCATTTAAGTCTGCTCAGACTGCTTCAAGAACTCTTCCTTAAATTTGTCCTGCTAATGCTGCTGCATCACAAGCAGTAGTGTAAACATCAAGGTTGAAACCCGGGTCCTCAAGCCACTGGCCTTTCAGAATATCCATCTCCATTCTAAAAAAAATGTAACAGGAAACAACAGCTTTGGTTTGTTGAGCTCCTTGCAGAAATCCCCCAACAGCCATCTGTTGCTATAACTAGTCAAATTTCCTCTAAACCAAAATCTGTTATTTGGTGAGATGGTGAGTTGCCCAAAAGATACTAAGCCATGCCAATTTGTATAGAAGCCCTGGTTGGGCTACAAATGAGCATTGTGAACATAAATTGACTAAATACAAGAAGTTTATTAAACGAAGTAATCCAGTGAAGGAAGTGATAAAACAATAGCTTACCTGGCAATGCTCCAGTCAGGTTCAATCCTCAGGACGGTGGGGTCGTCAGTGTAGTTAAACTTGACCTCTGGGTTTCTGAGCTCAGCGTCATCGATGTCCACAAAGACCGATGCACTGCCCGGTGATATTCCAGCTGGTGTAACGCACACTATCTCACGGGCATTCCTCCTGGATGGACAGACAAAAGAGAAGTTAGAGGAAGGTGATCCCGTACCCAGGCATTAGAAAGCTAATTGTAGAGGCCAACCAGAATCAATATCAACTCAAACAATTGCGAAATTCCCACAATTGCTAAATTCTCACAAAGCCAGCTTAACTCTAAACTACGATGTCAGAAGAAATTGTAATGAACTGATATTTGACAGATATTGAGGTTGTGCTTTCTCTCAGGAATTTCTAATAAAATGGAGCAATCTATGATACAAATGCATACAAGAATGTACACGACTGGGAGAAATAAACAATTCACACTTTGAACAGAGAGAACAACAGTGGAAGGCCCTCGACAATATCCCACAAAGAAGCTGTCTAGAGTCTGATCACTCTTAAAACAGAATTAGAATAATAAAAAGGCAATGATTACTTTCTTGTGCAAATAAATACTGAGGTCCAAACTGAAGCATTGACATATTTAATGACTTGCTCATTGTGCTTGTAATTACCAGTGTCCAGCCTGGGAAGCCAATTAGTCTCATTCTCTTAAAACCATATTGTAGCCCACTAATGTGATTAGATAATTCCACTTGTGACCAGTGCACTTCCGCTAGCAAGTCTGTCAAGTCCTGCGAGGTGTCCTGGCCTGCTGGATCAACCACAGCTGGAGCTTTTGATAACAGAAGTTTGAGCCACTGTACAGCAATGTATATAGTGTGTGCATTGTACTGTCTGTAGCCACGTTTATAGCTGGTATTAAGATGTGATCTGCTTTTGCATCCATTTGATAATGATATCTGATCTGTAGGCCTATGTGCTTACACCCACTTTTAATAAGTGTTCCCTTTATCTTGTTTCGCCTGTTTCAGATCTCAATATGCAAATGAGTTTAGGCTGGGCAGGCAGACTTAAAAATGTGGTCACGTTGTAAGGACTGCATTTACATCAGGCTGAGATCCAATCATAATGCGAGGTAGACTACATCTGAAGGTGGTGTGATTCAGATCACATGGTGTAAATGGGGTCTGTAACGCTGTGTTGAAATCCCTGTTTTTATGGCCTTTTATGTGGATGATACTCTTTTAAATGTTTTGTTAATTTCTATATGATTCCCTTTCTTTGCACCTATATTGTATGGTATTGTATTTTGTAGTAGCTCTTGACTCTGGTTTCAAAAGGCACTATAGAAATAAAGTTGTTCATTATTCTTATTATTCTTAGTTTCATTTATGTCAAATATATATTTTTTAATCTAATTCATAAAAGCATACAAAATAAAGAAAAGAAAAATTGTAAAACTCGATTGTAGAGGACATTTGTGCAGTATATGTCAATAACAAATACACTGTATATGTCTTGTGGTAGTGTAACCCCATCTCTACAGTATTTCTTTTATATGAATAAAATGTGTTTAGTGTAGGCAGGAGGAGTGAAGTCATGTTTAATGAACTTTATACCTGCTACGATTGGTGCACTGTCAAGGATCACCGCTTTTAGTCACAAACACTGGGACAGGGATGGAAAGAGTTTGTGTGTGTGTGTGTGTGTGTGTGTGCATGCTTGCATGTCCCATAGGCAAAATAACATTTTCAATTGCAGTCTTGAGTGTAGTCCCCAGTAGCTACATTATCTAATATGTATTTAGCACAGTTGAGTGGTGGCTGCTTTTCTGGGCCATGACTTCACAGGAGCAATGAATGTGTGCGGGTGTGTGTGTGTGCGTTTGTGTGTTGCACATTCTATTTTGCCTCTATATACCATGGCAGTTGCAAGAAAGAGAGAGTGTGTGAGAGAGAGAGAAAAAGGGAGCGAGAATCTACAATATCCACTCTCCCAAGTCCCTTGGCCTGTAACCATAGCAACCCCATTCACAAAGAACACATGCCCCAGCAACCTTCACAAGATGCCACAAAAACAGTCACACAGTTTGGGTGTGACAGATAAAGACGGAGTTGAGGTGAGCGAACAGTTGTGGGGAAGTGGAATCTGTTGGATTACTGTGAGGACGCTACAGCACAGAAGTGACTGCTGTGTGACATCAAAGCTAGCATACAGTTGCTTCAATGGAGATTAGCTATGAGAGGCTAATCCATGCATTTGACATGCAAGCGACTGTGGTGATAGTTTGGATTTTTTTTCATGCACTAGATTAGGGGAAAAGCCTGTGCGAGTGCAGACAAAAAGATGTCTGTGAGCAACAAGCATGCACACACGTAAACACACACATTCATGATCCCCCCCACACACACACAGACACACAAAACATCCTAACCTGACACGCGGATTACATGCTTACATGTGCTTGTAATATCTTGATAATGACATTTTTTGCAATGCACACAAAGAAATTTGTAAACAGAGCATGTTTATTTATGCACATATTCTCTTTATCTTTATTTATTCATTTTCTGTATTATCTACAGTACCTTAAGTCATAATTATAAATGTGTCTTACTATCTTAAGTGCTCTTTTTTTGGTCTTATCTAAATCCTATTCTCCTCTGTTGTGATCGGTCCAATTTCCCCACAGTGATAATTACTATTCAATTTAGATTGGAAAGAAAAATCTAATTGTTCCTTACTTTTTGAAGTAGCAGGGCTGCGGTCCAATGCTGACAGAAACGTAGCTGCCTGCGTTGAGGTAGCTTCCCTCGATGGTGACCCGGGTGCCGCCAGAAATGGGCCCCTGAGATGGCTGGATACGGGTGAAGAATGGAGTCTGGAGAAGAGTGAAAAAACATTCTTTTAGCTGATATAAAGATTATTACAAAGGCATATTTTTTATATATTCAATAATAAAACATCAAGAAAAACAGCTTGTAAATTGTTTAAAAAACAATTCCGTATTATTGCTTATGAACTTAATTATGATTCAATCAATTATGTCATCTTGTTTTGATATTTAATTTCGATACACATAATTAACATTGTAATTTTGAAAATGACAGAAAGCAGCAATGAGATGCCTATCATATGGTACAAAATGGAGATTTATGCAAAAAAGCATAAATGATATGACATACAAATAAGTCTGTACTATAAATAATAAGTTATGTTAATAGGCAATACTGGCAGAGTCTCTAAGGCAGTACAAACAACACTGAAAGGTGCAAAAATTACAAAATACTATATAGTACAGCCACATTTTGTCTTTCTTCATTAAAACCATTCTCAAATTGAACCCTTTGTTGAGTTACTGGTCTTTCATTAAAGCTTAGCCCTTGTATGGTCCTTACCACAAAGGTGAACGGCCTGGGCGACAGGGCTCTGTAGTCGTTGACGCAGTCTCTCACACACACCTCAACCTGAGCTTCCTGGACCCTGTAGCTGGTAGCGTCGTTCAGCAGACACACGATTCTGTGGATGGAAAGTTGAAGGGATTACTGCAGGAAAGAACCAAGTAAGAGGTCAAGTTCAAAATGTTTTTGTTCTACTCAGTATTTTTACTCTCAAAGCTCCCTTCACTCAAAAACATGTTTTTATTCTTGTTCCTACAGTGTGCTGTTTGAATGTTGTCTGTGCAGAGTTTGACTCTAGGAAGGAATGTTTCACTTCATCTGTTGAAAGTGAAAAGTTTTCTTGTGGCTCATTGAACATCTGTTTTAAGGGGCGGGGCCTATGAGCATGATTTGTGAATCTACAAAAATAGTTTAGGATAGTCCACAGTTCATGGTCCAGTATCAACTTGTACGTGTGATGTGAACTTGAAGCACAGTGCATCCTGAAATGGACTTAACAGTGTCCAGCTGGAAAACAAAATTGCATATTCATATATTCTGGAATATTTGTTTGTTTGTATTGTGTTGTTTTAATGTGGAAATTATATATATATATATATTATTTTTGTTGTTGTTGTTGCAGATAATACACATCAGACATGTTATTTGACACATTATTGTTCCAAGCAAACTATTTGTATATACATATTAATACATGACTGGAGGGGATTTTTAAATTTATAAAATTCTACTCTTTATTATCTTCAGTTGCAGGAATACGTAAATTACATCCAAAGTTAAAACATGCACTACAAAATCTCTGGCATCTTCTCAAATGCAGCTTCAAATTGATGGTTATTTTTCCAACACACCGCAAACTCACAGTGTGTTTGCAAAATTGCAATACAATAATATCAACAGCGAAGGCAAGGACATGAATTGACAAACAAAGCACCATCACGTCCACATGCAGCCATTCGTGCTCCCCATGAAGTAAATTGTAGGGTAATACAGTTTTCACCTGCAGTCCCTGTAGTATATGCTTTTTGAATTAGCAAGATGGAATGGGCATTCAATCACATGACCACAGTAGAGTTTGTACGCATTGTACACTGCACCAAAATACCTGACACAATAGATCTCTAGAATCTGTGCTTCATGAGGGTTGACAGAGAGAATAAAAAAATAGGAAGACTAGGTAGGAGAGGGGGAGAAATATATAAAATACATCCTAGACAAGTCTGCATTGGTGCAGGGACTTCGGGAATAATGCATAAAATAACTCATGTGTGTGTAATATTTGAATAGAGATGCCCTCTATCTCAACATGCGTCATTTCCCAACTAACTGCACTACAGAGAGATTGTTTGATCTACGTGAACTCAATTCCTCATCCGTGTAGGACCCTGCAGAGGAGTAAATGTCAGGATGGAGGGATGAGAAAAATAAAGGAAAGAGCATATGTAGGGAGTAATGGAGAGGAACAACAGATGGAATTTACAGACACGCACACAAAAACCCTGATGTCACTATCTTTTCAGCTGCTGGATGAGGCTGCATGGGCACCTATACACAAAAAGTAAGTGTTCTGTGACATTTTTTTCTGTCGCTTCTGTCCTTTGGTGTGTGTGTCCTCAGGTGTGTGTTTGTGAAACAGACAATTGCTGTCTGTATCTGCAAATGCATTAATCTGTGTTTCTGCGCTTTGTCTTTTTGTGCATGTGGGTGTGTGTGTTTGAGTATTTGTGTGTGTGTGTGTGTTCTTGCAGGTGCATGGTTGTGTCGTCCGTTCCATAACGTACCTCTCTGCGCTCACATACTCCTCCTCAATGGGCACACAGGGCACCTTGCCCAGCCGGACGCCCATCTGGATGTCTCTGAACTGCAGACCGAGGTTCTCCCCAAGGATGGTTACCCTGGTTCCCCCTTGGCGAGGCCCCGTCTCAGGGAACAACTGGTAGCAACAAGAGGAAGGAGGTCAGAAGGGATGGAGGAGGAGAGAAGGAGATAGAAGAGCAGGAGAAGAGGAGTGCAGAAAGGGGACAAAAGAACAGGAAGAATAATGTAATAATGGGACAATAAAGTCAATAGACATACATAAACACACACTATGGGGGACAAAATGTATCCACAGTTTAATTGCACATTCAACTTGTTTTAAAGTCTGAAAATAGTCCCCAAACGTGACACAGCATAAAAATACACAACACGACCCACACACACACACACACCATATCAGGTGATTCAAGTTTTAATGAAGAAAAATCACCCTCTTGGCTTTGAAAAACAATGAAAATGAGATAAAGAGAGGGCGAAAAAACAACTTCACTGACAAGCCCAAACCAGCATCATCTCGGGGGTTTAATTGAAACTTATTACGCTGGCTTGGCTTCATCGGCGAGGCCGCGGCGGTGTAACGCTCAGCCGCGCTGCCGAACCATAATGTGATTTATCTAGCCAGATTATGGCGCGTAACGGGGACAGGTGTGGTGTGACAAAACAAATATGGTGACTGATGGACGGTGGCTGTCACAAACACGCACACATACACTGCAGCGTGGGCACGCACGCACAAACCTAATCCTTAACAAGCATCACAAGGTAATTATGTGTAATCTGTCCATTGCCCTGTTCTCCTGCAGTGCTTGGCTGAGCAGACAGCGCAGTGTGGAAATGCAAACTCAGGCGGCCGACAGTATGGAGGCATAGCGCTATTATTATACCACAGACAGTACCAAACAACAGACCATGACAAATAGTGATTTCAGCAGTGTGGGCTAGTTAACGGAATGAACGATTTGTCTTGCCAGACACATGAGATTTAAACTTTTATGCAGAGAAATTCAGCTGAGATCCAAACCCTTCTCTGTGCCCTGCTTCAGAAGCAAAGACTACACCAGTGGAGCAGCTGGATGGTAAATGCCTTGCTCAAGGGCACCTCATTGGTAGTCACTGATAAAGGGAATAGCAAAACTCACTGACTCTCTCCACAAAATGGTAACCAGATGGTGCAGGGTTTTCATATGCAACCTTTAGTCTAATGCACCAGCACATATGGAGTATAATTTTACCCAGAAATAACAATTAGAGGGGGAAATGGAGAAAATTAAAAGAGAAAATTGGAATGGAAAATGGGAAAGTCTACAAGAAAAACAATCAAAATGAAAGCTAAAAAGTAAGAAGTTAAATTGAATATGGCAGCGGGAAATGATAAAGGAAAAACATATGTAATAAAATGGAAATGGAAAATAATGAAAATTGAAAAGCTTAAATATAAATGTACAAATTAAAAAGCTTTGCCTGAAAGCCACGTAGTAACAAACTCAGTGAATCATATCAAAGATTACAAAAATGAAAGCCTCTATGAGCAGTAGTTCTGACTTTGGCAACTCCCAGCAGTTGAGATTTTAACCAGGATCATCTCATATAACAAAAACATGTGCCATCAGAATAATTTTAAAGATGCTATGTTCGCAGAAAAAATGTCATATTGAAAATGTAATAAATCAAGTACCAAATGATTCTTTTAAATGAACTAAACGTTTATCCTGGCAGCGAGCTATACCAAATAACAGCGCACCAGACTGCCAGACAAACCATATTTTGGAAGCTCTTGCATATTAGGAGCAAAAACACAATACCTTTGGCAGCATCGTGCTACTACAGATATTACTGTGTATACACAAAGGCAAACCTTCACCAGTGTGTTTAAGAGAAATAGTTTGAAGTGTTATGTGTTGGTCTTTAACCATCTATAAAACAAAAAAGTAACTGGAGTGAACTTGAGACCAAGAGGGAGACAGAGCGAGAGCAGTCTGGCCGGGGATAATGCTGCCTACTATTTGGAAGCAGACTCACTTTGGAACCTCAGGCGCCAGTAGAGCCTCGGCACTTTGGTTCCACAAACACAATAGCTAGTAAACACTGACCAGAGCGAGTAGCCATCAAGCTCTAGGGAACGATATGGACAACAGATGTCAGGGTGTGGAAATGGGGCTTCAGATGGTTTTGGAAGAATGGAGCTATGATACCACAAAACACAGTATCAGCTAGCCACCAAGCCCTGGGATATAAACACTGGCAGAGCCACAGACAGAGAGGCAACAGAGAAAGAGAAAGAAGAGTGCTGTTAAAAGGGATTACCACCATCATCTGAGGGGGGCACTGAAAAAGGGGCAGATGAGGACTATGGGAACATATACTATCACACCATAAACACACACAGCAGTCACCAGGCTGTGGCCAAAAATGTCTTAGGCACATTATGCACAGGCCTACATCCTACACATACTTTATGTTGGAACAGTTTTCGACTAGTGAGAGACATTTCAGAGAGAGTTGCTGATTCTCTTGCAAGCATGTGAGCAGCTTAAAAATGCACATTATCATATTAACTGGCATACATTAACTGGTGATGTTTTCCCAGTATTTACATGGAGATCTGTTTGAATCCCTTAAAAAACACAGCTTTTACATTTTTAAAGTTACAGTCAGGGTGGACCTAGATCTGTCAGTCTTCCTAAGCCCTGCCCCTTTTTGCTCTGTGCTCCAATAACAGTTGAGCAAGCCTCAGTGAGAACCTCGTCTACATGAAAACACAACCACATTTTGAAGCTGATTAAAACATAAAAGCGACATGTAGTCACATCTATAGTTAGCAAGCTAATGTTAGCAATGCTTTCATAGTAGCTAGCTAATCTACATCAATCGTTAGCTACATCTGAAAGCTAATGTTAACAAAATGTTAGTTAACTAGCTAACTAATTTACATCTATATATGTGTATCTTCACGTGTATCTATATCTATATATATATACACAGTTCTGACGACATGCTCAACTGTTATTGGAGCACTGTGCAAAAAGGGGCAGGAGATAGGAAGCCAATTGCAGAAGTGGCCTATTTAGCTTGTGCATAAATTATAAACAACAAAGATAATACACCTGTGGTTCATATAGGCCAGGTAATGACACAGAAAAGGAGAAAATACCCCTTCCTTAGTTATCAACAGAATACAACCATGTAATTAGGTATCTGGAGGTGTTCATATACTGTATAAATGTGGTTTTGCATATTGACCTGTAGTTCTGTAGCTTCATTAGTATGGTAGGGGTTTAACGCTACAATACCACATATAAGACTAAAAAAATTTATATTTTATATGAAAGCTATACCAGCTGTTAGCATTAAATGCAGAGACACCACATTCACTGATATCAAGACAATCATCTGAATTCTGTTATCTGACTAAACTATCCTTGGTGCTATGACCATCTGTCACTCCTCATCCATAGTTGTGAGAAGACAGGTGAGGTTGTGGTAGGGTGGCTAGGGCATATTTTGAGCCAACTGCCTCTTCCTGCATTCAGCAGTAGTATTATTATGATGGACCCCAAAGTGGAACAGGAAGTCTCAACGTCCCTCAAAACCTTGAGGGAGGAAACACTGAGGGGAACATGTAGTGCTGGGTGCAACATGGCTAAACCACTGTAAGTAGGGCTGCCAACCAAAGACAGAGGCCTTACATACTTCATGGAACAAGGAGGCTTAAGAAAGCAATAACACTGCCTCTAATAAACCCCATCATGATCTCTAGCTATGCATCTGAAACATGATCATTGTGGTACAGGAAATGGAGCCAGACCGCTGCACCTCCTAGCTACCGTGCCCAAAAAGACTGTAATGGTTGTGTAGCTTTATATTAGTTCTGTGTCATCTGAGAGCGGATTTCCATTGGAACCTCAGAAACTCTTGGAAGTATGAAAGTACGGCACCACATAACAAGATAACCAGTGCTCACTGAGCCTGTGGGCATGCAGGCAGACGCCACAGCGTGGAAATGGGACCTCAAGCAGCTTTGGACTCATGTTGCAGTGATTTGACACAACACTACCACATTCAAGCTCATAACCACCACTCTCTGGGGAATTTAAAGTACAGACAGCCTGAAGCTGAAAACGGACCTCAGGCGGTTTTGGGAAGATCTGATACAACATGACCATATTCAAGCACTAACTAACAGACGCAACTGCAAAAGGATAAGATATGTCATTGTTCCTCGTGAGTAGCAGGACCCAACTGACAAAATGACCACAAATTCTAGTGGATGCATTCTAGTATAACACAATCTCTGCCAGCTACTAATCGCCAAACCCTGGAGATGATCAACTAATAGCTTGAAGTTCAGACTGAATAGCAATGTTGTTAGTTCTCCACAATTCAGTCTAATGCTGCATTCCTTGAGGGGAAGGATTTGATTTTGCTTTAACCAATCACTAATGACTTACTGTGCGTACCCGGCTGCTCTGACGTAATTTTCAGTCAACACTGGGGCCACATTAGTCAGCGCAGTTAACATAGGTTAAGCAATTTTGAACTGTAATTTAAAAAAAAGAGTTCCCTTCACCAAGTCCATTGTTTTCAATTTTAAGACACCTCAAAGCTGGAGAGAAGTTTGGCTTTATATTAATGTTGTGTACAGGGCCTGTTTTGCTAGTTCTTTTGAATACCGCTGACCAGGAATCCACTGGAGGTAAAGTACTGTGGTGTCGGTCTGTGGTGGTGTGGCCTTTACACTGCAGTCCTAACCACATAGTAGCCACATCAAATCATCAATATTATAGCAGTGGTTTCCTAGTAGTCTGTCATCCAGCCTGTACACACATTGTGTGTGTGCATATGTGTGTGTGTGTTCTGTAACTGTAATCTGTGGTCTGAGCAGTAACCAATAGCACATGAGCCATGGAAGGCCAGCAGCTGTTAAAAAACCGGGAAAGTTGTTTATGTGGTCAGAAAATAGTTTGGGAATTCTGCTAAGGCATTCTAAGCAAACAGGGAGTACGGGAAATCCAAGTTGCAATGGGACATTTTTTCTTTCTTGGGAATACTCAAACAAATGATCTAGTTATTATTTTCAAATATTTGAAAAATCCGGGAATAGTGAATTGGGATATCGTTTTCTCTGGATTTTAGGTGTTTGGAAACTGATGTTATTTAAGGATTCGTGTTTTTAATAGGATCAACATGGCTGGCACAGAGACCCTTCTACTGGTCTGCTCTAGCTTTTAGTTTGGGCAAACTGCCAGCAGTGGAATGTAACTAAGCACATTTACTCAAGTACTGTGTTTTTTTTGCGGGGGGATTATTACATTTAAATAGATAATGACAGCTGACAAGTGATAGGAAAGGGGGGAGAGAGGGGATGACATGCAGCAAAGGGCCACAGGTCGAGGGCCACAGTCGAACCCATTGCTGCTGCTGCAAAGACTATATGGAGCACCAGCTCTACCACATGAGACGGGCACCCCAAGCATTTCCCTTTTTATGCAACTTCATTTCAGCTGCAAATATACTTATCTCCAAATTTGGTGATTTTGAATTTGAATGTTTCTTTTAAACTGAGGGATTAAGTGTTCCTTTATGCATTGAGAAAATGCTCCTACTTCTTAAGCTAAATAAACTATTCAAAAAAACTTTGGATTAACTGGAAAATGCATTGTCACTAAACTGAAGATTAGGCTGTTTTTCTTAGCTCATGAAAAGTTGACTTTTAGAGATATATGGTACTCACAGGACAGCGTGCATATGATGATAGAACATGATGCATTGCTGTAGATTAAATAACCCAACAGTATATAAAGGAATTAAAATTAACTTAACCTTAAACCTCTACAGAAGTAACATGCAACATACACATTAATGCAGCAGTAATATAAATCCATAAACATCATACACTGATAGGGACCATTTCACTGCACTACGTAGTGTTTCTGAAGTAAGATTTTGAATGCAAAACTTTCCCCGTGTATGTGTGTTTATTAAGAGAATAAAGACATCTCCCTGATATCAGCATGTCTTTTACTTTTTGCTTTCATAACTCTTGACATTTATTACTCCCAGTCTCACTCTACTCGTACTATTATAATAATATGAAAACCCATCCCTCTTACTCTTCCCTCTCCTTCTCATGCCCTTGTGTTCCCACACCCAGACGCATCCACTAACAGGTAACTACCTTTGTTCATAAGTGTAGGTACTTTTTTTTTCAATTTGCGGATGCGTGTTTAATGCATTCATTTACAAGCACATATCCACATGGATGGTCAATTTGTGAACGTACTCAACCACTCTCCCAGATACACACACACAGCATTACAGTAGGTAGCAGCAGCAGAGCGACACAACAGATGTATATTTCAGCAGGTTTTAGTGTAAAATATTGGAGACTCTCACTAACAAGGACAGGACCAGTTGCGGAGGAAACAAGCCAGACAGATACCTCCTCCCTGTGCCTTTTCTGTCTGCCTTCTCTATCATCACATTTACATCATTTTCTCATCCTCTTACTTATTTGACATTAGCAAACTCTTTTATCTAGACCATCTTATAGTAGTAAAGGCTTTAACATGACATTACATCAGTGGTGTTTCCAGTTCTGTGAGGTCAAGAGTCGTAGTTAGGACACGTAAAGAAAGTCAGAAACACATTACCATGGTCCAAAAGTATTGTCTAAACCAATTGCATGATGATGATTTGTATCAAGAGAGACAAAAAAAAATCCAACATACTGAGATATGGTCAAAAGATTTATATAAAGTGTCTTTCTCATGATATTTGGCTAATAAATGTAACACAGACAATTGAACAAGAGAAAATTGTATGTCTTGAGTAATTTAATCAAGAACTGTGGCTTTAATGAGATTTACTGCTTTTAAAACAAATGAGAGCAGATAAGACCAAGTGGGAATATCCTGAAGTGACACCGATTACTCCATTAATATCAAGATAATCATCTCATTCATTAAATGTTCATTTGAGGTGAAATCAAGCACAAATATCTCAGCCTATTCACAGATTTTGTATCTGCTGTGGAAGAAGTTTCCTTTTTGTTGGACAATAAAGTCTTTCTGATTAAGATTTTACAATGGCTGAGGACTGAGAAAGACTTCTTCCAATAATACCAACTGAAAGCAAAGATAGAAAGAAAGGCAGGTATAGGAAAAGAATGACTCTAAACAGCTGTCTGAGCAATGCTGGGTTTGGACCCTTTCTCCTGCCATCCAAACACATCAATACACAGACAGACAGTGAAAGACAAAACTGAACATACCTAAAAGACAGTTTTAAAAAAGAATCAAAACCAAACAAACCTCTACATGCCTCTGTCTCTGGAGTACCAGTTTGATGTAACAGTGAGTAATAATACCATTTCTGTGCCAAGGGCAGGCACAAGGTCCCAACATGGGAGCACATTAAAATAGAGCAGCTTTCATTCTCGGTTTAGGACACGTAGGGCTTTCGTGACCACAGGGGCTTCAAGAAAGAGAGCTGACGCAATGGCCTATCAAGGTTTACCAGCCTTGGATCTCTGCAGGTGACTTTACACTCTTCACGAGTTGAAGAGATTATGATGCGGCGCTCAAAGAAGCCGCGCTGCTTTTCAGGTGATTTTAGAACTGTAACATGGGAGGGAGTTTTGATGATTTTGAGTTTCTTTTTGTTGTTGCCGACTGTGGATGTTGATTTGTTTTTCTTTCCCACCAATGGTAATGCCTCTGTTGAGTAAAACTATCTAGAATTAAGTTGGCTTCACTTTGCCGCCTCAAAATTATATTTGCATGGTCGCAGTACAAACTTTATTGTGTGCGTTGGTCATTTTCAATGGTTACATACATTTCTTGCAGAAGTCATTAAAATTCTAAACAAATACCGAGCCATTGCAAAGAACTCAAATAGCAAAGCAGAGTGCTAAACGTTTATCACCGGGACATGACATGAACAATGAGAAAATCCAGTTTTTCACAAATAGGTTTTCATTAAAAAAGGACAATGGAAAAACATGGACTAGCCATTGATATTTGCAAAATTTGGCATCATCTGTTTTCAACATCATGATAAAAGTCCAAATTTGGCAAAAGTTTGTGGTTGATGCCAAGTGTCATCCACAGCCAAGTGCCTGCCATGGTAGCCAGGTTTGGAAGAAGTGAGTGCAGCATCAAGGTTTGCATGTGTAATACGTAAAATGCTGTTTTCAGCAGGCTATAGATATTGAATATTTTTCCCAGTGAAGGTTTAGATTTCCAGTTATTTTCATTAGTAGTAGTAGTTCATAGAGAAAATAATTCTTAGTTGTGACCCAGCATGTCCCATTTATGCATTATTATTACTTATATAGAGTTATGGGTCCTGTTATAATGTTTTATGGCTATTTATAGCAATTTCTATTTGTATTAGTAAAAGTCTATCCAGAGCATCCAGCAATACCATACTAATTAAGTAAACTATGTCATATTTTGATAAAAGGCTGATGTAAAACCAATAGTTATATAGAAATTAAAAAATAAGACAGAAAATGAAGGACTTTTTAAACGCACAATCTGTGATTTAAATATTAAACAAAAAACAATCCCCCCAACATAGAAATTCTAAACACAGGACTAGAACCGGCTGCCACACACCCAAATTGATTCATAAGTTGGACACTAAAAAGTTTAAGTTTCTTCTTTTTTTGGATGGTGTTGTTTAGTAGCCAATGTAGGATCAAACTCTATGTTTGGAGCACTGGCTTACAAAAAAAATGCTGTCTGTGTCATCTGGTTTCCTCTACTAACTTTTCTGTGATTTGGAACACAGTCTGTCCTCTGAAGCCAGTACTCTTTTTTGTATGGCAACTGTTCCCCACTAAGCAGTCTAAAATGCGATGAGGGAGTGTGTGTTTATATCATGTGTCGATTTTGTTGCATTTGTGTGGGAGAGACTTTAAAATACCTTTAAGTGTAAGTGTATATAGGTCAAAATAGCCAGCCAAATTCCTTATGTGTGAAAACCTACTTATAGAGAGTACAGAATAGTTCAGAAACCACTATTAGAGTAGTGTATGACATTCGGTCTCTCTCACATGCACATACCATATACCATACCAGACTATACCAGAAAATTCTATATGACTCTATAAACACAGAAAATGACGCAGTACTCACACATGGCTACAAAGTGACTTTGTCAGCTCTCATCCACACAAGGAAAAAAACACACATACACCCAAAAGTACATCAGCATACTCTCAAGTACATCTCGCAGCCTCTTCAGTAAGGAGTGGGTGGTGTCACCTTCCATGTATGCAGCCATACCAAGAAACACTCATTTACCTTGGTGATCTTGGGGTGGGTGCAGCGGCTGTTCCCAGAGGTGGCGTGCATCCACCCTCCTCCGCCTTCGGCCAGCTGCAGCGGGAGGTGGGAATTCCCTCCACCGGTACACTCCTGCCTGAGGGAGCACTTCTTGTCCTGGACGCACCAACCGCATTCGAACCTGGGGTCGGCCTTCAGGCACATACCACAGCTGTCCCGCAACGCTCTGCACTTGTACAGGTGGGCTGGAGGGGAGACAGAGAGTGAGAGAGAGACAGATTTGAGGAGTTGTAGTCATAGAAAGTCACTGTGGGCTGTGTGCAGCTTGTCTTTTAAACTTAAATGTTCAGTGTTAATGTTGACTCTGGTTATTACATGAATGAACACAAATGGCAGCGACATTCATGTATGTATGCCCATTGTATTTATGATGTTAGAAGATTAGCATGATTAGAATTTACGAGTACGGATATTCACATATTTTACTCTGATGACATTGACACGCTTTTAATACTCACTCAACCCTAATACTAGCCTTCTCGTCTTATATATAGTGAGCTTAATTTGTTAGCACCCAAAAAATAACTTAATATTCATTCTACCTTGTTAAATGATAGGAGCTATTGAGCTAGTGAGCTCTAGAGGTGCTGGTAGGCGGATTATATTTGTATTTATCTATTTCTTATGTACAAAAGCCAGGCTAGCTGTTGCTCCCCGTTCCCAGTCTTTATGCTAAGCTAAGTGGCTGTAACTTCCTATTTAGCATACACACATCATCTCCTCATTTACGTCCCAGGAAGAAGCATAGGTACCAAAATATTGAACAATTGAAGCAAACAGCTGTAGTCCTACATTATTCACAAATCTGTCACGTTCCAACAGTTTTTTCTTCCCCTTTCTAGGCTGCGGACATGGATTGAAGTACAGCTGCTTTATTTTGGAAACTTGGCCTTTTCGTATACTGCCTGACAAATATTTTTGATGAACAGAAAGTTCTGTAAGTTTGTTAATTTAGAACAGTGGCAACAGTAAAGTCAAAAAAGTAATCAGAAGTGTATGTATCTGTTAGCCTGAAAGAGAGAGCGGGAACGGCATAAATGAATGTTAATCACCCGTGTTACACCTAAAACCTTTAGTAGGTGATTATTACCACTCAGAGGGTGCGACAATGAGAAAATAACTGTTTCCGCAGATAAATAGAGAGAAAAAATATATTAATGAACAAGCGACCTACAGGGATATTACAGAAATTAATTCGACAGGTAATGTCTTCTAACGCCAATAGGGAATTGATAATTTGTAGTGTAAAAAACCCATTCCCTCAACTCTGCAGAGTGGAGAAAGTCATTAAAAGTAAAAAATTAATAAATAAATAGATAAATAAATAATTAAAACCTCAAACACCTGAGAAGAGAAGAGAGGGAGATGAAAGGAAGCGGGGAGGAGGGGGGAGGATAAATTTGAACTGCGCTTGTTAACAAAACAGCAACAAGAATTGTTATGAATTTAAAGATGTTGAGGCCCCACGAGAGCCAGAGAGAGTGAGAGAAATTAGGAGAGAGAGACAAAAAAACAGACCCTAAACAGAAGAGAATCTGTGTGAGAAACAGGGAAAGCCAAACAGAGGAGAGAAAGTCACAAACGAGGAAGACATTTTTTGTTGTTACCATTTGTCATCTGTTAATCTTTAACATAATTATCTATCATTGATACTACAATGCCAAAACCTGCAGGCAGCTATGTTTGCTGTCACACCAGTTAAACAGATTTTAAATGAACTGAAGTGGAACAACAGTGAGGAAAAAAAAAGCAACAGAGCATGGAGGAATCTCCTCCCTCCTCCTCCTCCTCCTCCTCCTCCTCGGCAGACAGACGGCGGCCGGACTTCAAAGCGAGCCTCTTTCGTATCCATCTGCCCGCCTCGGCCCTCCGCTCAGCCTAATCTGATTAGCCATGGCTCAGCTTAAAAGTAGCGCGACGCTAATTAATCTGAACCAAATGAATGATTTAATTAACATTAACATCTCCACTTTACACCGGGGCGAAGCCGGGCCAGGGCCGAGCGGCTCTGCCACAGACGGATAATACAGCCCCAATTCAGAAAGAAAGAGACAGGGATGGAGCAGGGAGGGATTAATGAGGATGGAGAGAAAAAGGAGGAGAAAAGGAGGAGAAGGTCTTTATGAGATTTGTATGAGTGAGGACGGTTTTATAATGCATGGTTTTAAGGAGTTTCAGACCTTTAACACAGAGCGTTGCATTGAACTCATAATTCTAATTTCTGTGAGCCTTTAGCACAATAATCATAATATATCAAAGGGGGGTTGATAGGGTTGTTGATTCATACTAATTACTCATCTATAACCTAGCCACAGGTTTCAGAAGGTCTTTGTGATGAACACACCACTGGCCTTGGATGCTGCCTGCATAAATTCTCTGCAACTGAGCAAGTCAAGTAGCAGGAACGGCTTACTCATAGTCATAACAACAGGAACACACTCAAGTTCGCACACACACACACACACAGTTGCTAAGATCATTGGATTTCACACTCCCAAACTCTCAGAGCTCAACACCACTGCTGTCACATGCAAAGCCCGCACTGTGGCAAACATCCCTAGGGCCTGTTTCAAGAGTTAGCTGGATAACTGCGGTATAAAACCTCGTATCTGGAGGGTGGACTGATGTCAAAAGCCCTGTTGACTTTTATTCAAAGACGCTACTTATCTTGGATAAGTACAAAAAAAAAGTACACAGCAGACTCTTCATAGTTTGCAAGAGTGCCCCAGAATCCCCCAAACTCCTCACAGCTCACTGTTCTGAACTTGACAATGATCTGTTTATTTTCAAGATATCAACAGTGCGCTGTGAGGAAATGTGGGATTTAGAGATGCTATACAACAGAAGCAGGGATTGTATCTTTAGATAGTATGAACTTGCTGTCTTTCAGTCACAACTCTAGTCTTAATACTTACTTTGTAATTACATGTTGTGAAATATTGGATAGTGAAGTACATATAAGTTATAGACTACTTGATTCACCTTTATGTTAAGTGACTCCAAATTCCAGCAACTCCAGCACAAATATGTACTTTGAGCTACTGTCTGAGGAGCTGGAGTCCACAGGTCATGTGACAAGAATTAACCAGTCAGCTCCACAGGCCTTGCTTCGCCTTTTCCATACAAGGACGCCACATCATCAGGTTAAAAGGTCAGCCAAACAGAAGATGGAGCAACTGATTATACTCATGCAGGGATACCTGGAGCTGTATGGCCTGCCAGATTTCTGTTTTTACTGTTGAGCATGATGATACGCTGTTTTTACGTCACTAACTAGTTGTGCTAGCTAACCTTAGCTCATTTTGTGAGGGATTTAGGGTGCTGGAAATCTGTGTATATTTGTTGTGAATTCTAATTAGTAATAAATTACCAGAACATTATCATCGTTGTGCAGCCCACAGGTTTTGGTTGCTTAGTACCAACAGGCACAACATCTGAACGGCCCCTTAAATATCATATTGGCAGATCATATTTTCTCTAAGCTGATCAATAATTTATCATTTAATTGATGTTTACCCAAATTTTATATCTTCTCTGAGGTTTGTCATTGCTTCATTTTGACTGGGCGTGCAGTAAGGACGTTTTGAAGGCCCACAATGACAACTCTAAAATGCTCATATGTTGCACTTATAATGCTGATGGATGCTGGCATTGCAGGCATTTAGTCAACTAAAATATTTATTAACAAAGTCAATAGGATTCAAGAGTAGCAGAGTAAGAGATTCAGGAGAATAGGGGTCTGTACAAATTTCTATGACAATCCATCCAATAGTTTTGGAGACCGACTGACCAGACGACATTTCCATCCGTACAGCCACACCACTACAGACTTTACTTGGGAGCAGACTGTGACCTCAAGCTATCTCTGTTGGGTTGTTTGAAGTTTGAGTTAGAATAACAATTTTCACAGCAGCGTAAATGAACCAAACCAATGAAGTATGAAAGCACCCTTATTAATTTAACCTCGCATAGTCCTTACAATTTATTACCACGGTATTTTAAAAGACCAAGTGCAACAGAGTTACAGAATTTGATTAAACTAATTTAAACTAAAGTAAAACCCCAAACCCATGTTCCTCAACAAGCCACTAAATGTTTTCATTTCACCAATAATAGCAGTATTAACACTAGTACTGTAAATATTTACTACTACTGTAGTTCATGAATGTTTCTGGAAACAATTATCAATCTAACACATAAATGTCAAACTGCAATGTGCAGATTTGACTCACTAAATAAATGCTGATACTAGCACTGGGTCCTTTATTCACCAAATACAGGCCTGCATTGCTTCAGTCAAGTATTTATCTGATTAGCAAAAGTCATCAAATCTATAGTTCAAAATTACAGCATCCACTTGATTGCACAGAAATGTGATCATTTCTTTTGTTGTGGCAACTACAATTCTTCTCAGCACATGCTCAACCACATGTTTAATCCCCAGGAAGAACCTTTAGCACACACAGACTGAAACCCTAAAGAAGCATATTTTAAAACAAAATAACACAGGCAGAAGAATTAGGTCACGACCGATAAGCAACTAATTTCCAAGCAATCTGCAAAATGAACTGCATGTCTGACATTTATCAAAATGAGGTCAGATGGAACACAAAGAATGAGATTAAAACGTGCACGTGTGTCATCTAAAGATTGTAGTGAATAGTGAGTAGAATTGAAAAAAATAGAAGAGAGTGGAGTAGGAAGGGTTAGTTAATCTAACTCTAGACATGCAAATTTGGTGCATAAGACTGTAAGACACACTTGAGAGCAAGACTTATATTATCTTGTGTAATGGGACGTCTAAAATCATTAGCCTCCACCACCCAATATATTACACTTGATAAAGAATTTAGAATTGGTAATTGTTTTCCACTTCATGCACAAATAGCGATTAAAAATAATAAATGACATCCCTCCATGTCGCTTTCTGTTTTTCTTTATCAATCCCTTTGCTCTCATATACCCCCCGCCATTACACGGTGCATTTATCAACCTGTCATCCGCCCATCGTTCTTCCCCTTCATCCTTTCTTCTGCCTATTGGTTTTGCCATTTGTTTATCTTCCTCTCTAACATCCATCCCTATTAATTTCTGTGTTGGATGTTTGTTTGTTATCATCGTCATCCATCAATCACTCCCTCTGCCCCTCTTTTATCCCTGAGACAAGAATAGTGTTTTTCCAAACGGATGGTACACTTTCACCTTTCCTCCCCGATGGCTGTCAGAAACAAAATTACAGATTTCTTATGAAGGGGAAAAACTGCACACGGCGTTGCTGCTTCACAGGCAATCATTACAGACAGATAAACAACCAGGACTGATTCAAATTTTTTGCCAAGCAACAATGCCCCGCCATGCTCCACCAAAATGAGACTCGAGAATTGGGAAGGTTAGACGGAGAGGAGAAAACGTTGTACCTTGGATGTTGAATGGGTTGTCAATGACAAAGATTCCATTCCACACGACGGAGAGGTCCACTGGTAGGTCACTGATGTCACTGCCCTCGTAGTCATACTGAGAAAGAGAGAAACAGAGTGTGTGAGAAACTGTTGATTTATAATAGATTCAATGCAAATTGGGAATTGTAGGAGATATTGTTTAATTTGCATAGTGATTCGCCCTGGCTTGTTCATTGCAGACAGCGATACAGCCCGAGCGTGCACACATGCATAAATCCATATTTACCAAAACAGACATATTTCATAAATACACATAGAGAAATAACAGATGGGTTACAGTTGAATGGGCATGGAAGAATGGAGACAGGAATGGGAAGTGAGGAGAGGAGATGAGGTGGGATGGAGGAAGGGAGAAAGGATGAGATGGGTGTTGAGAGGAAAATGGGGGAAAGGATGAAGAGAAGACGACGAAGCAGGAAAAGGAGGAGAAGGGGTCAGAGAGGTGAAAGCAGACTGAAATCGGACACTAGTGGACATGTGAGAGGACCTTATTCATTTAGGCATGAGCTAAGTGGTGGGATGAGGGCAAGGGAGAGATAAGACACGGAGCAGTGTAAAGTGAAATTGGCATTTCCAATTTGCTTGCTGACACACTGGATTTGATAGAAGGGACTCGACCATCCCATATGGCCAATGGGGCCTGACACGCACACACACACAAACAGAGACACACTCTTATGATACAGTCAAAACTTTTCTCCACTGGTCATTCCCATGATTCAAATACCAAACATATCACAGGAATAAATAAGATCCATCCATCTGCTTGAAAAAGGGCAGGCGCTTTAAAAAAATACCTGGCAGGTCATTGCATAAACTATCTATCTATCTATGTCTGTCACAGGGGAACCTCAATCATTCAGATCAACTAACCATATAGCGTAGTCAAACTCGCGAAGAGCAAAAACATTTTATCAAGAAAACCCTTCAGTGATGTTCTTTGCACTTCTTTAAATGAAGTTATACTCTCCAGTTCTGATATAACTGAAGCTAGCAGCATCTACGTTAACCTATGTAGCAGCCGCCGTTTTTCAAGCAAACAGTCACACACGCTGTTACACACACCTAGCATTAAACCATGCCTGTAGCTCATGCTGTAGGTCAGTAGTCCATCATAGGATGCTGATTGGTCCGTTACCACTGTGGTTTGGACACAAGCGGTTATACTTCATAATGGCAGAGATTCATAGATATGTTAAAACAAATCTCATTCACTAGAAGTCATCCAAGCCCATCCTGAAGTGCAGCATGCCCATAGTACATTACATCACCTTCATTTATTTATTTAGCTTCTTATTTTTTTTAAGATAATGTTTTGTTGGTATTTTTGTCTTTTATGCCTAACACAGATTTGCAGACATTTGGAATCAGTAAAGCTGGTGCTAACAGACTAAAAGGGTAGGGTTACTTATAAATAATGAGCTGCATAGGTTCTCCGTATACCAGCAAAATAGATAAGCTACGGATTACCAAAGCTAAACACTGTGTTAGTTCAGATCAGTAATGGTTTCTGTTGAGCTTTGAGAAAAAAAAAGGATAAACAGAAGAAAAAGAACCTTAACAAGAGGAAAAGGGAGACATTGTAAGCAGCCACAGAGGAAGGAATGTGGGAAGTCTGGATCGCTGTTGAGACAGTTAAGATGCTGAGGGGAACAGACCAGTGAAACCACAGGATTCTGGGAGGTCAGCAGTTCCAGAGCATAGGGATTCAACCAAAACACTCTTTTGCCACAAAGGAAAGGCTGATTAGTCTTATTCCCTTCCCACTAGTTGAGTGTGACCCCGATCCATCACACATGAGGTAGGCTGTTGACTTTATTAGCATCACTATTACGTCCCACTGTTTAAAGGCCTGTGTATGGCAGCTTCCAGTGCCAGTGAAACCACAGGACCCACACACACACATGCCCACATAGTCCTCCTACTCTCTCTGCGGCGTGGCCCCCATTAAACTTTAAGGGTTTCGACTTGTCTCCCGTCACCAAAACACTGGGTGAGCTTGTTCTCTTGTCAGTCCCTGCCCACCCTGCTGCCCGCCACATCATGCTTTATTCATACTGTCACATGGTTTCAAACGCCGACACAAACCGCACTGTGACACAGCGACACCGTGCCACACAGTCACGCTGAGCATCACCCACTGTCTAACTCTCTTCCTAGGGCACACTTCGGAATAAAAAACGAGTTTTAGGTTTAAAACTGAAAATACAGAGAAGAGAAGGGAGAAAGCTTCAGCGGAGGAGAAGCAGCACAAGGACATAGATGTAGCATAAGAGGGATTTAAGGGAGGTAGACAATTTTAGCTAAGACCAGGACTAAACCGTCATTTGTTTTTTTATTGTAGGTGTCACATAGACCTTGCAAAGTAAAACTCTTCAGATGTCAACATGCTAAGAAAAACACCATGCTTACATTCTTATGTAATGTTTATCATGTTTAGTATTTTAGTTTTGTGTGTTAGCATGCTAACATTCGCTAATAAGCACTAAACACAAGGTATAGCTGAGGCTAATGGGTACGCTTTTGGACATAAACTAAAATATATGACAAATGGAAATTTTATTCTGATGATGGAGTGTGATGAATGGTCTGGGGACCATCAGTCTGGGGAAAGTTATAGTTACAGTTCATCCTAAAGGGGGACGTGAATGTGTGTAACAGATTTTATAGCAATCAGTCCAATAGCAGTCCAGACATTTCAGTCAAAACCAGAAACTTCATTGTGGCGCCAAGTAGAGGAAAAGTGAGGGGGATCACCAAAGTCACTAGGCTACATCCTCTGGGGACCATGAATGTCTGTATCGAATGTCACAGCAATCCATCCAATAATTGTTGAGATATTTCAATGTGGACTAAAACTTTATGTAAAAAATAATAGAGCCACATCAGGAGAGCTGACACTTTAATAATTCATTCATCACACTGGTGTTGTCAGTCACCAGTTATTACTCTACTCTGACCTCTGAGATTAAAAATTCTTCTCTAATGAGACTTAGAAGTACTGGTGGCATCTAATATTAAATGCAGGCTTTTTGCCATGACTTGGGTTCAATTTACAGAAACAATGCATCTACATATCCACAGAAACACTTCCCATAAAGTTCTTCTCAACAATGCAGTGATACATTGGGGTCACTGTCATCGTCTATCATTTTATCCTCTCAGTGGAAGTATGCTCTGAGTTTTCTGATGGGCACAAGTCGAACTGAGACAGACATGCAGAGCTTTATTCCAAAATTAGACCATCACTTTTTGAAAATGACAGACGCTCTGACATCATGATTAAAACTGTGGCATGAAAGCACTAAATCTAATTATGGAACACTGCTGAAGCCATCACTTCTACTTTCTTTACAAAAAAGCCATTTTAGAGGTTTGTGTTTGTTGGCCATCGAGTGGTGGATATGCTAATACTAAAAAACATTAGTTTCAAAACTTAAACTGCTACAGGATACAAGTTAATTTAATTAAAAGGATTTATCTCACCCCAATCGCAGAATATTGCAGCTTGTTTTAAATGACATATCATCCAATCTTATCCCATATACTCTCGACACTGTAAATCAGATCATGTCTGTTGTTCATTCTCTGCCTTTTACTAGCCAAGTGTGTAAAAGTGAATATGATGTCTGAATATGACTGCACTTTCGGTATCTCTGGAGCTCCATAAGGAAACAGAGGACAGAAGCAGGGTTCAACAAGCAATGGGTTGTAATCTAACTGTAGCTAATGAGCGTGTATTTCCTAACATAATGTCAAACGTAAAAAATCATTCTAGAAATCCATTCCAGTTTCACCTCCCTGTTGCTTTGACTCATGGGCTTAAATAATGGCTTTACCTTAAATCACCTTCTAAGCTTACTGAAAAACAGTTTGCTGTTTTTTGTGTTTGTGATTTATTATCCATGCGTGTGTTTTCCACATTTTCTGCATTTAATTATGTTTTTGTCTCTCAGCCATCCCACTCTGGGATACCTCCTTGGCCTCCTGTAGGATTTCTTCCATACTAGGCATTCCTCTGGTCTACTGGTGATTAGATGTTTGGATTTTTGTCCTGCTGGCTCCCGCAGCTTGTTTGAATAATTGATTACAGATATGAACATATATGCGGTCAGGTAATTTGTCCTCAAGAAACTGATCTGTATTTCCCCTTGGGTACATTTTTTAAATTACTGAATTGAACAGCTATCGACAATCGGCATGTCACTGACTTTTGGCATAGCTTTGATCTAAAAGTGGGGGTGCCAGTACTGTTAAAAAACTGTATTGGTGAAACCCTGTAGGTACAAGTTGCTCTCCCCCTACTGAGCGGCCTGTCTGCTGGCCTGCCGTCCCTCCCCTGAGCGCCCGGAGCTGCTGGAGATGAGTAATCAGACTCATTACTGAAGCCTCTGGCCAGCTCCTTCATGTCACTGCATGTAATTAATCTACCTGAGCCAACTCATAGTGTAGACCCCCCTAGGGAAGAGAGGATGGGAGAGGAGAGGAGAACAGGAAGTTAGGTGGAGGGAAGGGTAGGAGAAAAAGGCGAGGATACGGTGGAGGAAAGTTGGGTGGATGCAAGTGGAGGACAGCTAAAGAGCAGATAAGGGGAAAGTGAGAGGAGTGGAATTAGGGAAGGAGGAGAGGAGAAGCAACGGAGGGCAAAGATGGAAAAGAGGAGAGGCAGTGAAAGCTGGTAAGGGATGTCAACAAGAGGACAGGGAGAACAGGGGGGGATATAAAGTGGGAGAAGAGAGCAAATGGGACATACAAGAGTAGAGGACAGTGGAAGGAAGAAGAGTTTAAACAGGGAGGAGATAAGGGAGGGGATGAGGAGGGGCAATACGAGGGGACAAGGGAGAGAGGGAGGGGAGGTGACAAGAGGAGAAAAAAAGGAGAGGGAGGAGGTGTAAAAACTACAAGGTGAGCACAAAGCCGTCCCTGGCCTCATTACAGTAACACACCAGCCTGGCGCGGGTTCATTCGTTATCTGCTCCTGCACTCGTTTATTCTCTCGCTACATGAATCGTCTCCATGGATTGCATGTCTCCATGGATTGTATGAATAGATATG